ATGAGTAGCTAAAAAAAATTATTATTATTATTTTTTTTTGAATTGTTACGAAAATACATAAATAGTTAATGTGGGCACAACACTGTTTTTCAACCCGGACCGGCCCGGCGGGTCTACCCGGGACCCGGCCAACCCGAAGCGGGACCAGTCCGGGTAGGCTATTTGGACCGGATAACAACGAACCCGTTCAAACCCGGTCAAAACTCGACCAACCCGGCCTTAACCCGGTCGACCCGGGTAATTGAACCGGCCGGGTCAACCCGGTTGACCCGGTCCTTATATATTTCTTTATTTTTTTTAAATATTTTTTTATACAAAATAAAAATTATTTAAGTATATTGATATAGTAATATTTATTGTGAAATATAATTTTTTTAACACTTTAATGTACAAGCTAGTACAACACCCGTGTATTACACGGGTGCTTGCTAATTTTTTTCTTAAAATTTAAAATCAATGAGAAAAAGTAGTTTGAAAATTTAAATACCCTTTATAAGAATATATATATATATTATTATATATTTATTATGATAATTTTTATTTGTGCGACTTACTTGTGTTATATTATACTAATTTTTTAACTTATAATATATAACTACATTAAATATAAATATATCAATTGAGAAATAATTTTATTTTTCTAATGAATTTTAATAAGTATTATTATTTTTTATTATTATATAGATAAATATAATTTATTTATTTTATATATGCAATATGGATGTCAAATCGAAAATCATCAAAAGATGATTAATTTGATATATTATATATGTAAAACCGATAAGAAATATAAAAGTTATCAACTTTTAAAATACATATATAATTCAATAGCTTATTGAAGGAAGCAAATCAAAATTTAGGGATATATTAGTCACTTAGTGCCTTACTATGTAAAATTACAAATAATTAAAGGGTTATATTAGTAAAAGTGATGTTAAAATACCTAAATTAGCTAAATAATATTTAGGGAATACCCGATCCTAAATTATTAATTATTAATATATCAATATTATTTTTCCAAACCTAATTACGAAGCATGATTCTTCGCCAAATAGGATTCCGATGCACCAGAAGCAGCCACGTAGGCTCAACGCATTCGGAAATTATATAGAGGGAGGATTTATATGCAAAACATTTATTTTTGTTATTTTTATGTATATTTAATTTATTTATATGTCAAAAATACTATATATATAATTTTAAATTTTTTTAAATTAATTATCCGATCCAGCAATTGACCTGGTGACCCGGCGGTTGAACCGGTGACCCGGTGACCCGGAGACCTGCCTGGGTCGATTTCTGGGCCTTGGGTTTAAAAACTATGGGGCACAGTACAAATTATTATTATTATTTTTCACCGCCACGCACTGTCAGCCCGTCAATCTTAGTAAGAGCCCTCACGGCTAGGGGTGAGAAAAACCGAGCCGAAACTGAAAAACCGAACCGAACCGAGCGATTCGGTGCGGTTTTTGACGAGCTCGATTAACGGTGCGGTTTGGATTTTGGAAAACCGCAGATGTTTCGGTGCGGTTCAGTTCTCCTTCCGAAAGGTGCGGTTTTAACCGAACCGCACCGCATATTAAAAAAGTGTCATTTTAATTTTACCACTCTACATATATATTATATACATGTTGCACTTTTAAAACATAAAAAAGAAAACTTTGAGTGTTAGACTTATTGTGGTTGTTTAATTTTGATTTTGTAATGACATAATCATAATGAGATGTTGTTTGTATTTTTTTTTATTTGTAGTAATTTATTTTTTTTATTTGCGGTTAACCGAAAAATCGCACCGCACCGAACCGAACTTTTCGGTTCGGTTTGGTTTGGTTTTTTTTTCTTGCGATGCGGTGCGATTAAGAAATTTCAAAAAATCGATTTTCGGTTTTTTTTTTGCGGTGCGGTTCGGTTTTTTACCGAATCGCACCATGCTCACCTTTACACACGGTCTAGGAGCATCCACAGCCAGAGACTGAAACTAATCCTCCCGAATAGATGGCCAGCCCCAATACCATCCACAAGCTTCCAAGTTCAATTTCAGGACCTCATCACATGTGTTTAAGAGTACCCGCTCCGCCACTGTACCACATGCCCTGGGGCAACACAGTACAAATTGTGCGAACCAAATCGAATTTCTGTCAGCAATTGTTTTTATTTTTTTTTATTTATTTATTTATTTATTGTCTCAGGTGGCTTATGTACCGAATGACACGCCACCACGTGGAAGAAGCAAGCACAAAATCCAAGAAAGAACAACTGTCAAGTATGGGATATTTTGTCCTCATATTTAAATATTCATATATCTAAAATTTGGCTGATATATTAATTAAAATTTAATTTGATGCAATATATGAAACTTTGGTAAAACAAATAGCTTTAATTATTAGGTCACCTGATTTCGAATCCTTATTATCAAAGATTCAATTAAAACAGTAGTAGGTCATTAGCTCTTAAGATTTTAACTTAATTTTTATTTCAGCATATATATAATTCATGTATTAGGACTGTCTTTACAATAAATAAATAAATAAAATTTAACACTGCAAAATAAAAAAATAGACATAATAATACAATTTGGAAGGAATAATTTTGGCAAAAATAAATTATTAGACTAATGGAAAATATAAGTAATAATAATTAGTAGATGATTTTGTATATGTTCCTAAAGTTTTATTAGAAATCTCAAATGACAAATATAATAAAATAGAGGGAGATTATACGGTCTCGTTACGGTTATTTCGTTGGGTTTTGTAACTGTTAGATCAACTATTCACGACGGTTATATGATGTTCTAACGATTATAAATCTCGACGGAATGTTTCCATAGGACTGTAGTATTTCGAGGGAGCATATAAAACAAACATAAGAGGAAAATTAAAGTAGTATATAAGCTTTTATTTGCTTTTAACCCCATGTGAAAACAAAACAATTGTATATATTTATATGGGAGGGAGCATAAAGTTGCTCTATTGTGTTAGTAATGGATCGGAGTATGAACATTTTGAACTCGTATTCGATTATGCTCGAACATCATTTATATTAATTTGCTTATTTTTTTATCTAAAAATTGTGTACAATCTCGTTCGTTCAATTGTTCATCAAAGTTTCGATTGGTTCATGAGCAAAAAATTATAGTAAACAAACCTTTTAAAATTATTTGATTAACTAGAGATCTATTCGTTAACTCTTTCGAAAATTAAAATTATATTAAATTAATATATGTGAACATTGTTTAACATTCATAAACGAGTATGTGATCGTTCGAGAGCATAAGAGCAGTTTGTTCGAGAGCCTAAGAGCATGTTTGGATATGAAAATTTTTGATTTTGTTGGATTTTTGGTTTGATTTGGTTAATTTTGAAAATGGTACTATGGTTAGTTGTTAGTGAGTATATTAAAATAATATTTAAAATAAAATAATTAAAAATTTCATGTGATGATTAGTTAAAATAATGTGAGTGGAAGAACAATGAATTAAAGTTGATGTGGTGTGTATTAATGATTGATTAATATTATTTATTGTTACACAATGTATGTGTTTTGAATTACAACGGGAACCTATGAACTGACTGAAGTGTTCAGTTCGTACAAGAAGAACTAAAGCAAAATAAAAATTACAACTCGAATGCGGACAGATTGAAAGCCGAGGCGATTGAAATTTTTCCGCAAGACAAATACGCCCCGTATAGTGCTGACTGGTCTGTGCGTAATGTCCCCAAAGATACAACGACAATACACTCGGAAGCTATAGCACACCAGCCTTCAGAGTTTCAGCGAACGAGAATAAAGACGAGAACTGAGCACTATGATACGATGCATGAGACTTTGATATTATACAGAAAACATGCAATGTTGTGTGTCCTTTTCTCTGCAGCTCTAAGTCCTATTTATAGAACTTCCACCTCTGAGGGAAAACCAGCAGTTACATCAGCCACTTAAGGTTACAAAAAACATGCTAACTATTTAGCCATAAAAAATTCAATCAAAACCGGGTCAAACCAAGTTTTATAACTGACTTTCCAACATTTAATTATATTGATAATATTGGTGACAGTAAGGTTGAGTTAAAATATTGAGTTAAAAAAATAATTGAGTTAAAATGTTGATTTTTTTTTAAAGATTTCTTATATACAAACATGTTCTAATTTTATGTTTGAACTTGTACTAATTAACAAATTAAAGAATTAGTTCTTATCAAGCTCGAATAAACTTTTGTTCGCAAACGTTCAGTTCGTCCACATCCCTACCAATACCACAAATATAGGGAAATATATAGAGCCATAGGGCTGGAGATAAAATAAAAGAAGAGCTTGAGAAGAAAGAAGAGCTTGAGAAGAAAGGCTTGTTAGGTAAAGTATGCTGACATATTTGGGGTGGATTTGTATTTTTGTTAAAGATAAAGAGATAGTTTGTGGCAGGGGATGGCAGCTTGCCCCACATTGCTTTTTCCATTATTTTAGTTTCAAATCTCTTTTTGTTCTCTTATTAAAAACCTCCCATAACTTCTTTTTCAATTTTTT